AATAGTGCTGCAGTGAACATTGGGGTGCATGTGTCTTTCTGAATTATGGTTTTCTCTGGGTATATGCCCAGTAGTGGGATTGCTGGGTCATATGGTAATTCTATTTTTAGTTTTTTAAGAAACCTCCATACTGTCCTCCACAGTGGCTGTATCAATTTACATTCCCACCAACAGTGCAAGAGGGTTCCATGGGTTTGTTTTTGATGATGGAGTTTTTGTTTTTCCTTTTACACACACACACACACACACCACACTATCCAAGGAGAGTGACAAACAAGCCTGGGAGGAAGAATCAAGGAGACGCTCCCACAGAGCTGGTCTCTGACCCCACTGGCCCTCCTGCACCAGGCCTGCACCTGTCCTGCAGGGGCCTGGGCAGGTCACTCTGCCCCAAAGCCCTCCACAGCTCAGCAAACCTTTGCTCATGCCCATGCTGGGAACCCAGGGCCTGGCACAGAGCAGGAGGAGGGGCAGCAAAGATAGAATGGCTGGACAGTCAGGTAGACAGACCAGTGGGTGGGTGAAGGGGAGGCCCAGCCAGCAGGAAAGGCAGTGGTTTGTCCCAGGCTCCTCGACCAGCCCAGGCTCGGAGACACCACATGCCCAACAAGGCCTCCAGGGACGGCTCAGCAACTTGGATCTTTGGAAAAGAACCATCGACCTGAATATGGTTGCTGGCTCTGCCCCCAGCTACCTGCAGGACACCTGCCTGGGCCTCCATCTTCCCAGGTAGAAGCGGGCTTCCCTATGTGGGCTGACTGTGGGGACCTGACACCAGGTACCCAGAGGCCCTGCAGTCCAGGCCTCCACCACACCTGACTGTGCTCTGGGTGCCGGGCTCTGAGTTCGCTGTGTGTGTTTGCACCTGCCCCTCACCTCTCTGTGCCTGGAGCCCCAGCTAGAGGAACACCCGCACAGAGCCCAAGAGCAGTTCCACCCCAGCCTGGCCGCCCAACCCTGGCACCTACTTGGCGTAGGCCTTCTCCACCAGGGCACACCAGAACTCATTGCGGGAGCTGGAGTGGCAGTAGATGAGCTGGTTGTTGACTGTGGGCAGCCGGTCATCGATGACCACGTCCACCCACTCCCCGAAGCGCCAGAAATGGAAGTGAAAGATGCCCACGTAGGTGTTGGGCTTCTCGGGGTCCCACTCCTGCTCCTTCCAGTCTGGGATGACCTGGACGGGGAGGGGGACAGGATGGGACACACTGAGGGTCACGGCTGGCTTCCTGAGGAAGTGGGGCTGCGTGCCTCCACGGAATCAAATGGAAAGGAATACTGGGTTCAATTCCCATCTCTGCCATGAACCAGTATGGGACTTGGGCAAATCCTTCTCATCTCCGGGCCTCAGTTTCCCCATCCCTGAAGGGGTTGGAGGCCCCCTGAGGCTCCTCCCAGCTCTGTCATTCTAAGATTCTATGAGCTTCCCCTTCCCTTCCTCATGCCTCCATCTGCATCCTCCCCCTCAGAAATATAGCACATCCACGCAAGTTCCTGCCTGGTCAGTGGTGCCACCATGCCCCCTGTCCTGCCCGAGCCAGAAGTTGGCAGCCATGCCGGCCTCCCCACTTTCCCTCTCTCCATGCAATCTGAGCTCCCACATTCTGCTAAAATGCATCTCCTCCTCTCCAGCCCCCCGGCACCGCCCTGGCCCGGTCCCCCATCTCCTCGCCCCGGGACACTAACAGCATCAGCAACCACATCTGCTCTTGCCCCACACAGCAGCAAAGTGATCTTTCTGATTAGGTCCCCTGGAAAATAAAGCCCAAACCCTTAATATGCTCTGTCCCCAGGCTCATGTCTCTACCCTCACCCACCCCAGCCTCCACCTACTGCGCCCTGCTCCAGGCTCTTTCTCTGGTCAGGAGCTCCGCACCTGCTCTTCCTGCAGCTGACTCTCACTTGTCCTTTAGGGCCTACCCTCCTCCTCCAGGAAGCCCTCCTTGACTCCTCAGACTAGGCCAGGACCCCCGTCCATCCAACTCACGGCCCCTGGCACTTCTCCTCTGAGACACTTTCCCCAGTTATAATTACACAAGTGTGTGACATTGTGTTCAGTGCTGATACTGTCACTGGAATGTCAACTCTCTTAGGGCAGAGACACGTCAGTCTTGGTCACTGCTATCCACCCAGCACCTAGTCCAGGGCCTGGCTCAGAGAGGGTCCTCAATAAACATGTGTTAACTGAATGAATAAATTCACAGGCATCCACTGGGACTCTTAATAAAATTGATTATTTATGGAGCATCTTGGAAATGCCAGATACCAAGCCTGTGACTGCCATGGGTTATCTCGGTTCAATCCACACAACCACCCCATGAAATTACTAATACATCCATCCTTACTTTACAGATGAGAACATCAAGCCTCAGAGAGGGCAAGTAACTTGTCCAGGATCTCATAGCTAGAAAATACACATTCTTTGGAGGCAGGCAGACCTGGGTTTGAAGCCAGGATTCAAACGCAGGTCTATCTGCCTCCAAATAAGGAGTTCTTTATCAGTGTGGACCACTCTGCACCCAGCCCCACACTGGCACTGAGGACCCAGATGATTCAGACATGGTCCCTGCCCTCGGGAGGCTCCCAGTCTGGTGGGAGAGGCAGGCACACAGGCAAGTGCGGAGGCTGACACAGGGTACATGCGGGGCCGTGGAGAGGAGGGAGTGGTGGGCCTGACCCTGGAGGACAAGCAGTAGCTTCTGAGCAGGTGTCCTGAGAGCTGGCAGTGGGCATCGCCCCAGCAGACTAGGACGAACAGAGGAATTTGGGGCAGCAGGAGGTGGGGAGGCAGGGGAAAAAACCCTCACCCTGCTGAGTCAGGGGGACCTGCTGGCCCTTTCGGGCAAGGACCCAGAGGAGCCAAACCCCATCAAGACCAGAAGAACCATCTTCTAGAAGAAAATCACTCCCAGGTATGGGGGTGGGCACGCAGGCAATCCGTCTGAGGAGCCAGAGATGTATCAGGAGGCTGTAAATAAATCCCAAGGTCCGGAGCAGCCTGAGCACAGAGACTTCAGCCAAAAGCCATTCCCAACCCCCACCCTCATTAAGGATGCTTCTGTTTACACGCCTCTAACCATCAACAGAGATGCTGGCAAAGAGAAATGCTCCCTAGTGGGACATTCGCGACCAAGACAATGAAAATGATAAGCACAGTGAGAGGCGCTACAGCCACTAATGGAGCCCAGCTAAGTGCCTTAGCGCCTGAACCCTCAGGGCTGTCTTCTGAGGGGTAGGGCAGGAAGTCGCTGCAGAAGGCCACCCACAGGCACCAGTGAGGGAGGCAGGATTCACACTCAGGGCTTCAGAGCCTGACACAGAGTCTAGCACCCAGCAAGGGCTGATTACTAGCTGGTCCCTTTTCAGTCAACTGTGTGTCCTTTCTCAGTGAAGACTCCCAGGCCGGCCTCTGCCCTGACCCCTGGCAGGTTCCCTGACACTTGATTTCAGGACAGAAAAGTGTATCAAAAATGGGTTACAGGGACCTCCCTGGTGGCGCAGTGGTTAAGAATCCGCCTGCCAGTGCAGGGGACACGGGTTCGAGCCCTGGTCCAGGAAGATCCCCCATGCCATGGAGCAACTAAGCCCGTGTGTCACAACTACTGAGCCTACACTCTAGAGTCCGAGAGCCACAACTATTGAGGCCATGTGCCACAACTACTGAAGCCGCACGCCTAGAGCCCGTGCTCTGCAACGAGAAGCCAGCCAATGAGAAGCCCGCGCACCGCGACGAAGAGTGGCTCCTGCTCGCAGCAACTGGAGAAAGCCCACGTGCAGCAGTGAAGACCCAACGCAGCCAAAAATAAATAAATAAATAAATAAATTTATTTTGCAAAAAAGGGGGTACATGCAGGGGCACAGAGCAATGGAGAGTCGGAAGCTGGGAACACTGGCCTGGCCACTGCACCCTCCTCCACTCCTCCCTGCTCTGAAAGCTCTGGATTGCACGGGATGTGGAAGAAGGATGGCGGAGGGGGGAGGGAAGAAGAGGAGCCCTCCCAGGAGCTGGGAGGTACCACTGGGGCCACGGGAGGATCAATAAACCCAGGGCTTGGCTCTGAACCCTCTATTACTCAAAAGGCAGCTAATGAGGCTCCAGGGCCTGTGATACAGAGTCAGCGATCTCCATGGGCCTCAATTTCCCTCCCACACCACAGCCCTTCAAGGAAGCCCCAGGCCAGCCTTCTCACCCCTCAGCCCCCCTCTGCTGCCAGCCAGGGTACCAAGCGAGAGGAAGCAGTCTGTCCAGGGAGGTGTGCTCCCACGGGCCCACAAACCACACACCCTCCACACCACATCCGGTCATGCCAGAAATCAAGGAAGCAACCAGAGGATTCAGGACCAATCTGAAGAGGCTCCCACTAGCCAAAGACAGGCCAATTGGAGCAGCAGTAAAGGATAATGACAGTGATGAATGAAAACACATCCAATATGTTCAAATCCATGAGACCATGATGATATTAACACAAACAAATAATTAGTCACTATTGGAGGGTGGCAGGGAAACAACTCATTTTTTTGAAACTGGAAATCGAAAGGAAAAAAAAATCAAAGACTTAACCTGACTTTTCTATACAAACTGTGCCATAGAGTAACCAATAGCAGATGAAGGGAGGTTTTTATCTGGTGATGAATTCCATCTAAGAAGTGAGAAGAAATTATTTTTGGCTGTGTTGGGTCTTCGTTGCTGTGTGGGCAGGTTTTCTCTAGTTGCGGCGAGCGGGGGGCTACTCTTCATTGTGGTGGGCGGGCTTCTCATCGCGGTGGCTTCTCTTGTTGCGGAGCACAGGCTCTAGGCGCACGGGCTTCAGTAGTTGCAGCACAAGGGCTCAGTACTTGTGGCTCACGGGCTCTAGAGTGCAGGCTCAGTAATTGTGGCGCACGGGCTTATTTGCTCCGCGGCATGTGGGATCTTCCCGGACCAGGGCTTGAACCCGTGTCCTCTGCGTTGGCAGGTGGATTCTTAACCACAGTGCCACCAGGGAAGTCCTAGATCTTTTGCAACCACTGACAAATAATGGATTTAGGCAATCATGGCTTCGAACATCGATTTAGGATCACCGATGGTTCCTATGTCACAAAATAAGAGACAACCCGACATTATGTACCTCCTGAGAGAACTTCGCCTATGAAGCAGTTGTGCAAAAAAAATCGTGCCGCATCTTATGAAGCCTCCAGAGGTGAGTGCTACCTCACAGGAAACTCAGGGCACAGACAAATATTAATCGACACCATGAAAACGAAGCCTGCAAAATCCAGATGGTTGGAAACTCCCAGGACAAATGACTAGCTTCTTCAGCAACTAGATTGCAAGGGAAAAAAATGAAAAGATGAAGGGGAACCAACGGACTGCAGTAATGGACCTTTGGATCTGATTCAAACAAACTGTAAAATATACATATAAACATTTGTGACCCAGAGTGGAAACCAGAACATTTACTGGGCATTTGATGATATTAAGGAATTATTATAAAGTTATTTTAGTTACGTTACGATATTATGGTTCCGGGTTTTGAATGAGTCCTTATCGTTCAGAGATACATCCAGAGATATTTACAGATGAAATGACATGCTGCCTGGGGGGAGCGGGGTTGTAGAGGAAACAAGATCAACCATGAGTTGGCAGTGGTTGAGGTGGAGGGATGGGTCCAAGGGCTCACTAGGCTGTCTCTCCTCTCGCGTGACTACAGTTGAAAAGCCCCATAGCCAGGGACACTAGCTCCCTGGCCCGGCATTCAAAGCCCTGCGGGCAGCTCTCAGCTTCACCCCTGAACACTGCCTCCCTCAGGCCCTATAGGAATCTACACCCTGTGATGCCTCAGGCTACCTCAGTTTTGCACGGGTGGCTCCCTCTGCCGGCCTCATCCCCGTCCCTGTCCCTCCGGGGCCAGCTGAGCAGCAGCTTGCAGGGTCCTCCTGACCCCACCCTCCCCTTGGGCGCCGTCCGGCAGCCCCTCCCCCAAGCTCCTGCTCAGATCCCCACCGCCCAGCACAGGGCCAGGGCCAGCTCCACAGTTGGCTGAGTCTTTCTGGGAGGAAAATCCCCAAATGCCGGCCGCAGCGAGGGCCTGGACAGCTGGTGAGCTTGTACACACTACTGGTGTGAAAGGAAAATACAAATGGAGTCAGTTTTACTAAGACAGCGCTCTAAAACGGAGCTGGGAGGCCACTGAGAAAGTGTGATTTCTTCACGTCACCACCTGCACGGAATCTGAACTTTGACCACTTCTTGTCTTAACGCAGCCATCCAGAACGTTTGCCCAGTGTTCCAGAAACTCAAGATATTTATTGGATCCTTACCCTAAAATAACTCTTGACAGCCTCAAGGACAAATATTTCCTTTAACGACCTTATGGCTTTTGCCTTTACAAGCCCGACTTCCTCTTCCCTGGAACGCTCTTTGGTTATACCTGAATCTGTGTCTCCCCCGTTGCAATTCCTAAGACCTGCAAATAAAGCTCCTTGTCCTCTGTAGCCTTGATACTGATTGTCGTTTGATGCTGGACACCAATTTACCAACCTCGGCGTGTGGCTGGGACTTAAGCTTCGACTAGGTCACCTCTCGGAGCCTCAGTGTCTCCGCATCTACCTACCCTCCCTCCAAGGCTATTGTGAGAACGAAGGTGGAGAACGGCCTTGGCTGTACTGCATCAACTGTGGAGGGCTGGGTACACATGAGGGGTCGTCCCCGCTGGTGTGTGGAGTACATGGTGTGTGCAAACCTCGGGGGGACCTGGTCAACCTCCCTCCCAAGAGGAGAAAGGAAAACCTTAATGACAGTCCACTGTGCAGACAGGAAAAACAGGCCTGAAGGGGCTGAGGCACCTCCTTGGGCTGACCGGGCAGTGAGGCAAGAACTCTGTGGGATTTGGAGCCCCTCGTGTGCCCATTAACAGCCACCCACTGCAGAATCACCCAGAAACCTCAGAGTCCCACTGATGGGTGTGCCACAGTACCCCCTGGTGCCCCAGCACCTGGAGCACCCCCTCGGTGCTCTCCCTCAGGGACTCCCACCCAGACCCAAGTGGCTGGGCTCAAATCTTGCTGGGACCCTGGGCAAGTGAGTGAATGCCCGTGTGTGAGTGTGTGCACAGAAGCATGCATGTGTATGTGCAAGTGTGTGCGTGTATGTCTGTCCATGTGGCAGAGAGGGAGCTTCCCACAGATTTCTGCTTGGGACCCCAGAGGGCCAGCCAGGAGCATTTCTAAACAAGGCCAGCAGGGCTGAAGGCTGAGGGACTACAGTGGAGTTTCCTGTGTTACGTAAGCTGGGTGAGGTGAGCCACAGACCTCTCCAGATCCTCAGAACGAGAGGGTCCCTGGTTCTGAGTATCTGAAGTTTCTCAGTTCTCAGCTTCTGATTCCAAGAGTCTCAAATTCCCAAGTTTCAGACGCCACGGCTGGAAGAAGCCAGGAAGATTGGGCAATCCCCACCCCCAGCCCCTTGGGAGAGGAGTGCCTCCAGCTCACCACCTGGAGCGTGGGGTGCTCACACACCTGCAGGGGGCCCCGGGATCCCTGTTCACAAGGAGTGAGCACAGCCAGACGCTCAGAGACCAGGGTGGCCCCTCGGGCTAGGCTCCCAGGCTAGACTGTGAGGGCTTAAGGTTCCCTCAGCTGGGCCCTTCCAAGCCTGGTAATGGTGAGGAGAATCCACTCCCCCATGACCACTCTCTCCAACCACAGAGCCAGGCCTGGACCCTGCCTCTCCCTCCACCCCACACTGCCTGCTGCCCTTCACTACACCTCTCTGAACCCTACACTCTTCCTTAGTAAATAGGTTCTCCTAACACCCTCCTCTCAGAATCATGGTGCAAAGTGAGACTCTGTGTCTACAGCGACTGGAAAAAGTACAAGGAGGAAATCCAGAGAGGAAGCCCGTGTGCCTCTCAGGAAGCTCAGTGCTTCACTAGCTTTAAGTCGTTCCATCTTCACAGTGACCCGATGAGGAAAGAACCATTACTATTCCCACCGACAGATGAGCAAACAGGCTCCGAGAGGCTGCTCAGGGTCACACGGGTGGTGGCTGGCGGCAGCGCCAGGCTGGGTCCCTCACACTACCGTACACTGGCTCAGTGGGAGGCAGGAGCTCAGGAAATGGCAGGTCTCTCTGCTCGGTGGTTTCTCACAGGTTCCGTGGAAAGCAGGTCCTCACTTCCCATTCCCTGCACTCCCCCCGGCCCAGTCTCAGGAGCAGAACCAAGCCTTCTACTGCTGTCCTCGGGGTGGGAAGCCTGGGTTCCCGTCTCTGTTCCCCCCATCCCTCCCAGAAGTATCTCCAGGAGTGGGTGGAGGCTGGGGCTGGAGGGCAGGGCTTGGGGAAGGGAAATGAGGCAGCAGCAGCTGCCCTGGGCAGGGCCCTGGGGTGGAGGAAGACGGGATGCGAGACCTGCCCGGGGGGCTGTTCCCAAGCAAAGCCCCAAGAGCGGCCTCGGAAGCGGGGCCTGCCCTTGTCTTGGGGGAGAAGCCAGCCTTGCCCGGGCCTGAGCCCTCAGATGGGATGGGGGCATCGGCCCTTCCCGTCCCAGGGGGCCAGGGTCATGGGGTCGAAGGTCCACAGACCCAGAGCTTGATCCACGTGCACCCCGTCGCCGGCCCCTCCACACACCCTCTGTGACTGTGGGCCGGCAGCCTCCTCCCTGGGCCTCTGTTGTCACCGTCCACAAAGGGTCAGGTGGGGCACTAAGGCGACGTGGTGACATGGGTCTTCTCTGGTCAGTGCGGCAGGGCTGCAAGGGGCTTCAGAGAACCAGGCTGTTCCCTTTAGAAGGTCTGAGGCTGGGAGAGGGTCAGGGGCTGCCTGAGGACATACAGCATGTTAGGGAAATCGGGGCACAGGCCTGATCCCACCCCACCTCTCAGCCACTCCCCTGTCCCGTCTGCCTCCTGCCCGGCCACCCTGCAAGGGAGGGAGACTCCAGATTGAGCACGGCTTGGTGGGTCCCCACCATCCCCTGTGGGCCCCAAGTGTCTCCCCGAGGCCTCAGCATGGCTCTCTCCATGCCCCATACAGAGGCTGGTCTGGGGGCCACTGGAGAAAAAACTGTCAGGGCTGTTGGTTCCTGGCTTGGTGTCACGGGACCTGGTTTCAAACCCCATGCTGATGTCTGACCTTGGGCCAGTCACCACCTGCTCTGGGCCTCAGCCCTGAAAGCGGCAGGAGGAGGGGGCAGGGGTGTGGAGGGGGCCCAGGGAGGGGTGGCTCCTGGGAAGAGAACACTTACCATGAGGCGGGGACACACAGGCTTTACCGGGGACACACAGTGAGCACGGCAGAGGCACTCACATGCCTGCACAGAGCAGACGCGCTAGGGTGCGGGTACAAGCAGTCTGCAGCAAGAGGGGCCCCAGAGCTGCAGGGAGGGGTCAGGCAGAGAGGCAGAAGGACAGGGCCATCCACAGGGGTCTAGCCTCCAGGCTCCCCCGGAGCCAGGAGAGAAGCAGGCAGGAATCCAAGCATGTCCCGGAACAGACACCCGAGCTTCAGGTTAGAAAGGACCATCGCTCACACCACGGCCAAATCTCCCACTGAAGAATCGACTCCAAATGCTTCTGCTTGCCTGCCTCCAAAGTGGGGGCCTGCCCTCCCGGCAGCCCTGGCCACTAGGGTTGGCTCTGACCCTCCATCTCTCAGTGCCTCTGCTCCCAGGGCCCTGCAGCCCCCCGACGGCTCTGCTTCACGAGGGAAATGTCACAGGCACGTCCCTGACACAAAACAGGGCTGACCTGGAGACACGGTGTTGGGGGCGCTTCCTGAGGTGCCCTTGGCTGGTGCCAGGCCTCAGAGGAGCTCACTGGGCCTGTGCAGCGTGAGGGGGGCTTGGGGCTTGGAACTGAATCTGCTAGCAATTGTGCCTCAGTTTCCCTCTTTGTTTGGTGAGTGGGTTCTGCCCTGTGACCTCTGAGGCCAGTGTTCCGCCGTCACACCACACTGTCACCTCCAGCCCACTGCTGACCACCATCCATCACAGCTCCCCTCCAAGGCTGCCCCCGATTCCTACCCCTCAACCCCACCAAAGATGCCGCACCAGGATGACACACCTGCCTTCTCCGACCAGTTAGCCAGGAAAAGCCTGACATCCCAGGAGGGGACACCTCAGGCCCCAGAGATGTTACTGTCTCCAGCTCCAGGGCTCTGGACCCCCTCTATCCAGCTTCCCCCAGGCAGAGGGAAACCTGTTTACTACACTGTTCCCCACTTCTCTGCATGAACCTCAAAGTCTCCCGGCTCAGGAGCTTCCCCTCCCCAAGGCCATCCTGATCAAGCCCCTGCTAAGGGCCACCAGGGAACCAGCTAGGCAATTCAGACTTATTCACAGGGCAGGTATGGAATACAACCATATGAATATAGCATGCTATCTCTCAATACATATGTGTATGTATAGATAGATACATCTCTATGCAACGTTTTTGAGATCTCCCCCTTCACTTCTCCCCTCCTGAAGTCATTCCCAGAAAACCAAGAGCTGGCCTGCACAGCCTCCAGCGTGCCAGCCACTGCCCACTGCCCAAATCAGCCCTCACAGCAACCCTGCCCAATGTCTTAAGAGCCCTGAGGTGTCGTGGGCCCACACAAGGTGCCCGGAGCAGCAGGCTGAGTGTTCACCTCCAGACACGGACACTGGGAAGGGGCATCGTGGCCAGGAGGGCAGCAAATGCCTGTGTGCCAGACTCTCCAAGGAAGTTGCTTTGTCATCTCTTTGTCATCTCTGGGCCCGTCTCTGGAGGAAGCCCAATGGCTGGTTCTTTAGAGGTGTCTCTCTCGGTCTGTGTCTGTCTCTGTCTTGGTCTCTCAGTCTCTCTCCCAACAACGGAGCAGAGAGAAGACCATCTCCCAAGGCCTCTCCATCTTCCCACACTAGCCCCAACCAGGTCTCCATGGTCTACGGCAGAAGCAGCGGCAGCCAGGTCAGCTTCTAGACTACGGAGCCCTTGCATCTTCCTCCCGTGAAAAGGAGCACCAGCACCAGGGAAAGGAGAGAAGGAAGGACGCAGGCTCAGGGGTCCTGGCCAAGCCAAGTACAGGCCAGCAGCTAGAAGAATGTCCCCAAACACACACATGGGGGAAAGGGGTATGGGCAGGGGTCAGGCAGGTGGGCCAAGGGAGAGGGTAGCAGCAGGCAGCTGCCATCAGAGCTGGCTAAAGACCACGGAGGCCTTGAGGTTGGCAGGCTCGACGCCCTCGCTGAAGGTGATGAGGAAGTACATGACCTTGAGGATCTTGGCCAGCTCGGACAGGCGCTCCCCAAACTCCAGGGCGTCAGCCTCATTCCAATCCATGGCTTCCGAGTCCTCCTTGCGCCAGAAGATGGCAGCGGGGTCCAGCAGCTGCCGTGTAATGAGGTTGGTGAGGTCGGGCGTCCAGATCTGGGAGGTGCCCGTGACGGTGACCCTGCCCGGCTTGTCCAGCACGACGTCCCAGCGCTCAGACTGCAGCCTCTGCTGCTGGATGAAGTCGATGCGGTACATGGACTTCGCCGGCTGCAGCAGCTTCTCGCCATCCTGGCGCTTCCCCCCGCGCTGCTGCAGACTCTCCACGCGCAGCCGCATCTGCTTGGTCAGGTCCTCGTCCAGGACCAGGGGCATGTCCAGCTGGGTCGGCTTCGGCTCGTCCTCCGCCATGGCCCCCTTGCTGTTGCCGCCTCCACCGTCCAGGAGCCGAGTGGACTGGGGCCTCACGGCCAAGGCGAGAGGCCACCAAAGAGGGGCCCCGTCTCCCCTTTCGCCCCCCTCCTCGTCCCGCCCCTCTTTGCCACTGGCTCTTCCCAGCCCCACCCCGTCCTCAAAACGGAGTGGGCAGGAGGGCGGGCGTCCCCACATGCCTCCTTCTCTACTCCTCGCAGAAGCGGTAATGGAGGTACTGCAGGCAGGCAGGAGGGTGGCAGGCTCCTCAGGGACCAGATGCTGTGGCAACCGCGCTGGCCACCACGGATGGGCTGAGAGCTGGCTTGCTGTGAAGAGGGAGCACTGCTTACAGGCAGTAAGAGGGCAGGAGGCGGGGGGCAAGCGCTCACTGGAGACACATCAGGAGAGGCTGAAGACCCCCTGGCAGGAGGGTGGGAAATAAGGCCCAGAGGGGCCCACCGATTTGAGATTTGAAGTCACCTAAGCCGAACCTTGGCGCTCTCCTTGACTCGGCCTCACCCGCACCCCTCCATGCCCAATCGGCAAGGCCTGTGGATTACCCTGGAAACACGTCTCCCCAATCCCACTGCCAGGACCCCGGCCCAGCCATCATCATCTCTCACCGAGACCGATGTTCTCAAACTTCAGGGAGCATCAAAACCAGCTGCAGGACTTAAAACTCAGTTTGCTGGGCCCCACCCCAGAGTTTCTGATTTAATCGGTCTCGGATGAGGCCTGAGAACTTGCACTTCTAACAACCTCCCAGGTGATGCTGATACCGCTGGTCCAGGAGCTGTATTTTGAGAATCACTGACCTGGATGATTCTTGCCCGCTGGCCCCGCCTCAACCCTGTGCCGCATAGCAGCCACATGCCCAGGAAGCTCTTCTACTAAAATCCCACCACTTATTACCCCTGTGTTGAGCCTCAATTTCCCCCAGGAGACTTGAGGCCATGGAAGAATCTGACAAACGTCTGTATCCCCGGTGCCTGAGGGGGAACCAGGAGCTCAGCTGTTATACGTGGGCAAATGGAAGAAATGTGAGCGTAACTGGGGGTGGGGGTGAGGGAGAGGGGAAGCTGCCATGACACTGCCACACACAGAAAAGAGGACAGAAGCACAGGCCAAAGTGTAATAACTGAAAACAATCTGAAGGGCCCAGTGGACCACAAGCACAGTCAATTGCTAGATGGAAGCTAAGTAAGTCAGTGGGGTCTTGGGCTACACAAACAGCAAGAGGGTCACCAAAGGGGACCACGCACCTGATCCTGTTAAGACAACACCTCAAGCCCTTGGGTCAGTTCTGGGGGCTGCTGACAGCAATTCCCCGATGGTATTCGAGAAAACCAGGCAGCAAATGTTAAACTGCCTGTCCCTCACAGAGCCTTTTACTTTGTAGCTGGAGCAGCAGAGGAGAGGGGAACAATGTGTCTGGGGAGTGACTGTTCGGGGAGCTTCTCTCTCCTTCATGAGGAGGAGCTATTTCCTTCCCAGCTTTTTATTTGTACATTTGCTTCTTTTTTGTCTGTGATGTCTCCCCGCCAAGAGGGCAGGGACTGTGGCTGTCTGGTTCATCACTCTAGTCACTACCTAGAACAGGGCTGCCACACAGGAGCCCCAGAACTCCTGAATGAATGAATGAACGAGTGACACCGACAAGAGAATAGCTGATGTGATGGATCCTGGGGCCTAAGGACCAGGACAACAAGAGGAAGATGGGCACATGGGGAGAGAGTACACGGGCACTGACTGAAGTCAAAATGTGGTTTAGAGACAACTGTGCATCGGGCACAGGAAGGAGGGAGATGGCTGGAAGGTGAGGGTGATGGAGGAACAGAACCAAGAACTGGGCCAGGGTGATGAGGGCAGGGTGTCAGCCACACAGGTACAGTAACCCCTGGGACGCAGCAGTACTTGGGGTGGGAAAGGCTGGGAAACTGGAGGTGTTGAGCCCTTGATGCCTGGGTGCCACGGTAGCTGGTTGCCAGGGGATGGCAGTAAGGTGGGCTGCTGGTGGGGGCCGGGGGTGGGGGGAGTGGGGGACAAATGGCATGAGCCTGCAGGGGTCTATATGGGGAGGGTGTGGTCTGGATGCATCACTGAAGGGAGAGAATGCCGCCACCTCTTCGGGCCTGCAGGACATGGTCGGAGGTGTCCAGCTTCTACCAATGAGGATTCAGAGGCCGCAGGACCCTGGGGAAGGGCCTGGTCTCGGCCTTGGCAGAGGGTTACCGACCGGCAGGAAGAGGCTGAAGGTGGAAGCTATTACCAGGGCTGGGGCCTCACAGACAGGCAGGGCAGGAGGGAGGGAGTCGTGGGGACCAAGGACGGCCAGAGGGGAAGGAAGGGCAGGCGGGAGGCTGCGGGTGGGGCTGGCCCACTGCTTCCCACAAACCTCTGCTTGGCCACCAGATGCCTTGGGAGGCCCCACCAAAGGCTGGACGTAGGAATGAATAGAGAAGAGAAAAGCAACGTCCAGACTTGCATCCGTGACTGCAAAAACGTGATCATAACAAATGAACAAGCCCCTCTTTTAACCCCAAATGGAAAAAAGACTAGAAGGAAATGTAGAAAACCCTCAACACTGGCTGTTTCCAGGTACTTTTTAAAATCACCTGTCCCCGGTACCTAGAATGGTGCTGGGGCATAGCTGGTGCTCAATTATCGTGTGGTGCATGAACTGCTATTATGTTAAAGGGCGGGGATTGCTCATATAACATGGGCAGGGGTGGGATGGGAAACGTTTTTAAGTGGAACTAAAAGACTGCGAGGCCCTGCCACAAGGTGCCTCCCCTAGGCCCCGGCCCGGGATGCCCACCCCCCAAAACTCGCTCTCAGACACTCGGGCACCCCGCTGGGTTTCTGCTCAATTCTGCTCTCCCCCCACCGGGGGCATGGCTATCTCCTCCTGGGCCCAGGTACCCCATGGCTCAGAGCAGGGCTCAGGCCTGCCCTTGCGCCTGGGGCCACGCCAGGCTGTAGGGAAGGTGAACTCACCTGGCTTGGGCCAGGCCAGGCTAATGGCAAATGCTCCACCCCACTGTCACATCTGACGTCTGGTCCACAAAACCTGGTCACCTAAAGTCCACTGCCCTGCCCTCAGGGAATGCACTGTCAAGTTGGGGAGACCATAATGCCCCCATCAGGGATGCCATAGGACAGAGAGGCCTGCTTCCTAGAAGTGTCCGGCAGAAGAGAGGAATAGGTGGGAGGCCAGAGGAGGGGCAGAGAGGGATTTAGATTGCTGCTAAATGCCATGGGCTTGCCCCACACCCCTACCCCGTGGGCTCCTTTAATCCTCCTACTACCATGGGGACTGGAAAAGTCAGGTTTACACAGAGGCCAAGAGAAGAAACATGACCTGACCAAGGTCACACGACTAGCGAGAAACCCAGCCAGAATCAAACCCAGGACCCGCTGGCTTCAAATCCCCTGCCTGTCGGCCCCAGGCCATGTCAAGTACTAGAGGTAAAGGGGTGGCTTCCTGGAGAAGGGGGCATGTGTGTCAGGGGCGTGATGTGCCTGCATCTGAGGCTCAGCATCCCCAGAGTGTGAGGTGGGTGGAGGGAGCAGGGGTGCAGCTCAGGCTGAGCGCCCCCATTCCATGGAGAAAACAGGGTGGGGCAGGGGAGGCCCTGCAGGGCAACAGGCCCAGCAAGTGAGGGGTGACAACAAACAGGGCCCAGTCAGCAGGGACAGGAGGGGAGGTTAGGCACAGTAACGAGCTCCCCGGGACCTCGTGCCTGCTGCCGGGACCCAGGGTCTGTCACCACAGCAGCACCAGAAGGCAGAATGCAATTAGCCCAGAGCAGCCCTGACTCGCCCAACCTCCCAGGGACCTAAGCTCCTGGAGATCTGCCCCTGAGCTTCCAGACAAGCCAGGCTGGGTGCCCCAACACCCTGCAGGAGGAACCTTAGGCCCAGAGACAAACACAGGCCTGCCCATGGTCACAAAGCACCAACAACAAACCTCTTGCCTGTGGGTCCGGGGCCCCTTCTTCCACTTGCTAGGTGGAGAGCTGTCCCAGGGGTCGGGCCCAGGGCAGGGCACACAGTAAGCTGAGGCTCATCTCTACAAATGACTAGACAGCCCGTTCCCCAGGAGGGGACACAGAGGGCCAGGCCCCGGCCCCACTGCAGGCCCCAGGAGGCCTGGGGCTGCTGGCCAGTCACTGGGGAGGAACTCTGTTCTCAAAACTTTCTTGAGCCCTCTCTGTGCCGGGCTCCTCCTGGGCTCAGCAGGAAGATATAGACCAGCTTTGTCTGTGAGCTCGAGAGGGGAGATCACAGATAAACAGGCAATTATAGGACCGGGTGGGAGGTGTAGGGCCAGCCCCACAGAGTTCCCATGTGCCACCTCCAGCCCTAGACGGAGCCCTGACCGGGGCACCTTGTTCTGGGCTCAGAGAAGGGGGTTGAAGCCTGGAGGCAGGGGGCTGAGGACAGCTCTACACCCGAAGAACAGCGCCAGATCCCGAGCCTCTGTGGGCCATGAGGCTCTCCAAGGCCCTCCCAGCTTGGACGCCCCATGACCACCCATGTCTACGGATCTCAGCAGTGGCCTCTGCCGAGGGGCCTACAGCACAGAGCTTCCCATATCCCACAGGAACACCGGGGCCAGGCCCCAGGGATGCCCACTTGGGGGTGGCTTTGAGAGGTCACACCCCTGTTCAGAAGACATGACAACAGGACACCTACCACAGTCCCAGCCTCGGCGAAGGGCACAGCTCCCTCTGATGGCTGAGGGACGCCTCAGAGGATGAGAACAAACTCATCTGCCCCTTGCACCCTGCTTGCCTAGGAACACCCATTATGTTCCATGAATCTTAATGATCACAACACTGGGGTCACCGCAGCGCTGCACTGCACAAGGCCCTTTAAGCACAGTACCTTGTTCCACCCTCACAGCTCCCCGAGAGGGAGCTACTCTGATATCCCAACTTTCTGGATGAGTAACCTGAGGCTAATTACAAAGCTATGAAACGGCGAGGCTGGGACTCGCACCTGAGCCTGTCAGACTCGGATGCCCGGTGTTCTTAAGCCCTACTGCTAGTCCCTACAGAAAGAGCAGAAAGGGCAGGGATGAGATAGGGGCAATGACTTGTATTTGCTGGCATGGGAACCCAGGATGCAGTCCCCATCAGTTACTCTTTAGAAACCACAACTCCAGCCTCCCTGCTTCCCCAAGGAGGGAGCTCTGAGTGTTGGACTTAAGGGCTGCACCGCCGAATGCTGCCACAAGAGGGCGAAGTGTCAGGACCGGAGCCCATTCTTCCCAACCTAAAACCCTGTGGTTCTGGTCCAGAATATCAGCTGCTTGGAACCATGAATCATGAAACAGGATTGTCTGGATCCCTCCAGCTGTTCAGAGCGAGAGGAGCGAGGCCCAGAGAAGGGCAAGAGCTGGCCAAGCCGCACAGCAGATCCTAGCAGGGCTCTCCTGAGCCGCAGTTAGTGGTATCTCCACACTGCACATGCTTTAGGCGGCCTCCACGTTTCACAGGTGCACATCCTGCTCAGTGGGTCCCCAACAGTCAAGAGCGGCCGCATCAGAGCTGGGAGCTCTGCAGATTCCCAGCACCTGCCCCTGAGCTGGCGGGGGCAGGGAAGGCAATTCTGATGCTCAGTCAGTACTGGGGAGCCCTGGCATCACCCCGCCCCATCCCCGCACAGGCTGTCATAAGGTCTCACCTGCTCACTCAGGCTGCACCTCCCCCATCTGATGGGGAGGGCGCCAGGTGGAGTTAAGTCTCCCCAGCACCCCTGCCTGACCCAGGCCTCACCTTTTGCCACAGTGACTCGCGGGAAGCGAGGGACGAGCAGGCCGCCACAAACCAGCAGTTGCCCACCTGGCCCTGGTGCAGGTCGTGGGAGCTGATGCCATCCACAAAGAGGCGGGGGTCCTCGCATATGTCCTGTGGAGAAGCCGAGAGGAGACCTCACTGTCTGCGTGGAGATTCGCACGCCTCCCCTTGCCTACTGGGGCCCTGGGTCAGCTTCTCCAAATCCAGCTTCCCCCAGGGCTGCCCAGAAAGCCCTTCTCCCCTCCCCTGGCTGAAGAACTCTGCTCTTCTGCTGAAGTTTGGATGATGAGCAAATACTGTGGAAGGACTTCGAGGGGCTGGACCCAGGCCACCACCTTCCTCCTGCCCTCTGTGGTCCTCCCTGACCAGCAAGGGCTCAGTGTCCATCGTCCTCCAGCAGCAGCAGCCCTGCAGGGCCCATCCCAGCCAGCTCTCAGGGGCCCACAGTCACAAAGTGGGGTGAGGTGCAGGGAAGAAACACATCAAAATTGCACATGACGAGTGCAAAGGGCCAGGGAGAAGCGAGGAGACAACCATCCCGGGACCCATGTGGGCACATCCTCGGGCTGTCTCATCTGACCCTCACTCCACCCGAGCAGTGTAGCATTTTTATTCCATTTTATGGACGAGGAATGAAGGTTCAGAGACAGGCAGTGACTTTCAAGGACACACAGCAAGCAAATGCTGAGCAGAGCTGAGCAGACACCCCCAGAGCTCCCCGAGTGCCCACCCCAGTCCCCTCCTCCTCACCCACCAGCATCTTCACTCTACAGAGCTGACAGCGAGTGACTGCGCTCCAAGGGGGGCGACAATACAGGCTGGGGGAGGTAAACACTGAGACATGCCTTCCTTCCTGCTGGCACTGTGATCTATCCTGAGAGGTGAGCATTGTGCTCATTTCACAGATGAGGAAACTGAGGCCCAGAGAGGTTGAACAACATACCCCAGCCACACAGCACTGGCCTGCCTCCACTTCAGCTGGTGCTCCTGAACCAGTTCAATCACAACAGAGCTACTGAGGGCCTACCGGAGGCAGCCAGCAGAGGGCAGCAGAGTCAGGAAGTCAGAATTCAAATTCCTGCTCCCCATTTACCGGCTGTGCAACTTTGGGCCAGTGGCTCAACCTCTCTGAGCCTCCATTTCCTCCCCGTGCAAAGGAAGTAGATTATTATGCTTGCAGGGCTGTGTAAGGACTCCACAGAACATGC